AAAAAAAAAAAGGACACGAAAAGAATAAAGAAGAAGAAGAAGAAGGATCCTTTCATCCTCGATCGGCGAGGCACACGCGAGAAAGACGAAGAGGTCAGTCTAAGAACGGGCAGAGGAGAGGAAGCAGCGAGAAGAGTAGTTATGGGGAGGCAACGACGATAGAGAGAAGACATGGCGTGCGAGATGAAGTGGGAGAGCATACACTACGGGAAGCACCGAACGCGGATGTACGAAGGGTCATCGACCCCAAACACGCTGTCCTGCGTCCTCGTCTCGATATGCTCGCGGATGTGGCATCGACTAGCCTAAGCTCTTTAGGCTTTACACATCTCCTCTTTGCCCCCGCGAATTCTTCCCGTTCATCGAAGAAAAAAAAAAAGAAAAAGAGAGAAGAAACGTTCTTGTTTCACTTTTGATCCCGTCAGCGAACGGGGGGGTTTCCCGAAACTTGGAAAATTCGAACGATCTAAATGCCAACGGTCGCTTGGATTTCGGTCGATTCGCGAAACGAGATCCCGAGAAAGTTGAAAGTTTCGATTGAAACTACGGAAGTACTGTAGGGAGAGCCCGAGTCGAGAAACGGTCGAACGAGCGGTAAGGGAGACTGACTAAAGTGGCAACGAGAGATCGTCGGGCGAATGCACGGTTTAACGATCGTGGATCGCGACCTCGTGAGAACCCTTTCAATTTCGACTGCACGCTGTTCGTTACCTTGGATGGATTTCCTCGCCTCTCCCCTCGTCGCGGGGGGAAAACGACAGTCGCTTTATCTTCTATCGTAGCGCGAAAGAATCTCTTTCGGGAGAGAGGAGAAGGCACAAACTCGGATCGTTTAGCAAGATTCAACGATCTTATTCTCCGCAGATTTCTTCCCTTTCTTCGCCCCCCTTCTTTCGCCTTCGTCTTCTTGGGAAGACGTTCCGCGCGTCCGAGGATTGATCCAAAATTGGCGAGCAAGGTCGTATGAAATACTGGTCAATTGACCATAACGTAACGATAATACTCGACGATTTGTTCAAGCGTGTACTGAAAGTGTTTGAAGTGTTACGGTGTGAAAGAAGGATTCGTGACAGAGTGTGTCTCTGAATCGAAAAAGAGTAAAATATAAGAGACTGAGTACGTTTGAGTATCATATTTTATCTCTCGGTCACTAATCGTGATTTACATTAAATGACACAAAATGTCACATGCTTGTCCTGAAATCTGTGCGCCATTTGAAAATATTCTCGTAGCGTCGTCGATAAAAGAATTCGTCCCGAAACGAAAGATTGGGCCGTGAAAATGGGAAATGGCACTCGCGGCTGCAATCCATTTTCATGTGTCAGCGGTCCCCCCGTCGTCGCGGAACCTGTTTACCCGAACCCGGAGAGGCAAAGGCTTCTTTAACCTCGCGTGTACGCGCGAGAGGAATAAACGAAAACGTCACGTTCACGAAAAAGTATCACGGTGCATATCCGTTTTCGAAAGGGCAAAGGAGAAAAAGAAAAAGAAGAAGAGTCCGCGACATTATTACCAGGCTGTTCTTTCATCGAATTAAACGCTTTGACGACCACCCCGTGTAATTGGCGAACGAAAAAAAGGGAGTGGAATTTCCCGCGAATCTCATCGAGGCCCTTCTCTCTCTCTCTCTCCTCCCCCTTGCTGGCTGCCGTTCAATGGAATATTTTATTCGTAGCCAGGAAATTCGATTATCCGGTTTCGGGCTGGGATTTAAACGTTTGGCCTTCGCGGCGAATCGCTG